ATCTCTGGCTCAGGAAACAGTTTCTGATTTTAGAGCTCATCAGGAAGCCGAGGGATAATACCACACACACACACACCCCTGGAGGTACATCATAACCACTTGTGGACATTTATAAAGTGCAAATTTGCTGTCCCCATACCCAGAGTTAATAGATCAAAGTGGCTGGGCTGGTGCCTCAGGAATCTGTTCATTAACAAGTGCCCCATAGATTTCCTGAAGTAGGTTATGAACCATCATTAGGGAATCACTAGTCCAGGAGTATCTCTGGGATCTCCATCTCAGTCCTGATGCCCCAGCACCAACCTTTAGGAACATATACAGTCAACAGGGCTTAGAGGCAGAACAAGATTTTCATGTAGGAGACTGCTGCCTTTGAATGGTACTGACATCTTCAGGGGAATTTAGGTGGTTCAGGACAGTAGGTCAGCTCTTCCAGAGGGAGCAAGGCCCCTTCCAGTGAAGTGATGAGGTATGACCAGTAGAAAGGAGCCTCTATGAAGCAAGATAGCAACTCTGTCCCCCAGTGTCATGAGAGAATAAATGCTGGCCTCTGTCTGCATCTGTGGGTCAGGGTTTCAGAAGAAGCTGAACCTTGCTTTCCATGGAGCTCTCAGCACATGCTCAGGCCCTCCCCCACTCCCGGCATACACTCAGGTGGGCTGCAGTCTCCCCTGCAGGTGGAGCTTCAGGTGTTTACTGGGGATCCCTCCTGGCCCTGCTCTAGGCAGTGGTGCTCAGAGCAGCTTCTGGCCCTGGGCTCTGATTGCAGGACCCAGCAGAGATCATGTTAAGCCTCACTGAGCTCAGCCAGAACAAATCCTCAGGCTGAATCTGGGGGCCTAAGCAAATGAGCAGATACTGAAGGGAGGGACAGCTCTGGAGAGCCTAGTGGCAAGATCCTTCAGCCCCAAAGCCTGAACAGCAAGTCTTGTTGGCTGTGTGGTCCCCAGCTATTGTCTAATGCAAGGACATTTTAGGGACTCCGTTGGCTCAGAGACTGACACTTCAGTCAGACAATCAGGCTTCTTGGAGGTATCTGGTCAGTGTATCATGTTCTTGTTTATAAAACAGAAATCATCCCTACCTCATAGATTAATAAAAGAGCATTAAAAGAGATAATGAGAGAATGTCAAGAGTTTTACCACAGTGCCAGCACATAATAAGCAGTTAAGTGTAGTTATTTCTCCTAATTCTGTTCTGTAGCACTAGAAAAGATCCCAAGGTGACAGGTCTAGATAGTGAAGAACTATAGAGGAGAGGCAGTGGCCATCATAATTAATTCCAGAAACTCGGTGATATCAAATGAGGAACCTGGAAACACCAACTTCCTTTGAATGCCTCCATTCCTCTCCATCCTCACAGCAACAAGGTTCTCTAGCCTTCTGGGTTTCCGTTAGGTATGCTTTGGGTTCAGCCTGTTTCCAAATCCTTTCTCTCAACACAAGGGATGCCTGAGCACCATCATGCCAACTTCTGTTACCGTGAGTCAGTGCTGGGACCTGGAAAGGGACCTTACTAGAACTAGGGTCCCATCTTCCCCTGCATCTTACCCTGTGGAAAGGGACCTAGGGACCCTGCCAATGGACTGGAAGGAGGTCTGGGTGGATTCTGGAGGTTCTCAGGTTTCCTGGAAACACATGGTGAGCCCCAGAACTTTTTGAGTGTTGCCAGGTGACTGGGGGAGAACAATCTCATACTGTGGGGAGGGGTAAGATCAGGTAGGTGAGGCACAGAAGATATAATAGGCAGGTCAGTGAATGTCTGCTCTTCACAGCACAATGACAAGGGCCTTGACAGTCTAGGGGAAGTTTTCAGAGCCTGGTTTTTAGGGTGGGACCCAGGAATGGAAGTGGCATCCTTGAGGCACACACTCAGGAATCACCCAGAAAGGGGTGTCTATCAATCTCAGAAGAGCTGAAAGAGAAGACTTTTCCTTCTTGCATTCAGCCAGCCTGCTGAATCTTTCTGAAGGTTACTGAGTCTAGATGGTGCTAAAATCCACTGGCTCCTTATTGCACTTAAAAAACCCAAATCCTACTAGGCATGGTGGTGCATGCCTGTAATCCCAGTGGCTCAGGAGGCTGAGGCAGGAGAATCACAAGTTCAAAGCCAGCCTTGGCAATTTAATGGGGCCCTGAGAAACTTGGTAAGACCCTGTCTCAAAATAAAAAATGATAAAAAGGACTGGGGATGTGGCACAGTGGTTAAATGCGTATGGGTTCATTCCCTGGCACCAAAAATAAAATTACATCAGGGGCTGGGGTTGTGGCTCAGTGGTAGAGTGCTTGCCTAGCATGTGTGAGGCACTGGGTTTGATGCTCAGCACCACATATAAATAAATTAAACAAAGGTCCGTTGACAACTATATATATATATATATATAAACAAATCCCAGTCAAAGCCTACAAAGCCCCTACTTCTCTAATTCATCTCCCACTACTGTCTCCCTTGCTTGCTCTATTCCAGCCATACTAGTCCCCTTTCTGTCCCTCAAACATATCAGCCTCACTCCTGTCTTAGGGTCTTGATATTTGCTGTTTCCCCTGATTGGGGTTCTTGTCCCCATGATCTCACAGAAGTTTGTTTTTTCTCATTCAATTCTCAGCTCAAATATTCTCTCTTCAAAGAAGCCTTTTGTGACCTTGCTAGCTAATATGTTTCTCTCTCTGAGTTTACCCTGTCTTATGGCCTTGAGTCCTTGTCACTCTCTCAAATGATCTTTCTTATATATCTCATTCTTGTTTAGTGTCTGTCTCTCTGACAACGGGATTTCATTTTGTATGTATATTTTACTCATTTGTATCTCTGGGGCTTAGAATAGTGACACATAAGTGCTTGGTAAATTTTTGTTAGCTGCCTGGAAGGTGTTGGAGTTAATCAAGGTCGAAGAAGAGGCAGTCCTGGTTAGAGGACTTGGAATGTTGTCAACCTGGCCCTGAGGTCCTGACCAAGTGGAACCAGGAACCAGATCAAAATGTGCCCATTAGAGAAGTCACTCAGAGGTGGTTCACCTCTGCAGCTGGGCCAAAAAGTGCCAAAACAGCAGGTTGTGTCCTGGGCTTGGAGCACCTAGAGTATGAGACAAGGTCATGAGGTTTCCCCTCCAGAAGAAGCATAGTAACTAGAGTTCAACCCATCAGCATATCAACAGTCAACAGGACCCCTCCTCCTGTTTGGGTGACATTTGGGGGCAATGAATTGTGTAGGGATAACTGATAAGACCAGCTCTAATCCAGATATTAAGTAGGTTCCAAAGACGAATCCAGGCAGAAGTCAGAACCAGGCAGAGATGAGAACCAGACCAGGGACTGAACTGAGCCTGAGGCTAAATGAGCATGGGAGAGTGCTGCAGGGATGAGCCAGGCAGGACCAGACAGGCTCTTTGTTTGGGTGGGAAGCACATCTGGTGTGCATTACCCTTTGCTGTCTGGGAGCAGAACTGCATACTCCTAACAGGAAACAGCTCAGGAGCTGTCATCCCAGGACCTGCTCACAGTGGGATTCCAAGAAGAGGGGCCCCAAAGGAGCCCCCCTCCCCATCTTCTTGGGGCTGTTGCAGATATGCCTTTAGTAGCCAGTTTTTATGAGGACCACCCAAAGCTCCCATTGTCTCAAAAAACAGGTGCAAATAGTTCTCCCTGATGCACAGGTGCTTTCCAAACTCAGCTCTCCACCAGGGTTCTTCTTGGGTCAGACTCCCAGGTGTCCTCCCATCCAACCCCAAAGACATTCCTACCTCCTTACTTTTGCCCAGTACCCTCCTCTTTACCAATCAAAAATTACACTATATTCAATAGACACAATAACTCCATTTGGTTTTCTGTAAGCCTGCCCTGATGTTGAGTACATAGTATTTTCTCTTTTTTAGTATTTATTTTTTTAGTGGTAGTTGGACATAATACCTTCATTTTATTTATTTATTCATTTTAAGTGGTGCTGAGGATCGAACCCAGGGCCTCACATGGGCTAAGTGAGCACTCTACCACTGAGCCACAATCCCAGCCCCAAATACATAGTATTTTCAATCCCCATAGTACAACCTTGGACTTGATGTTGTCTAATTCTTGTTCTCAGGTAGTTAGTGTTGTACATTGTCCCTGTGACTAGATTATAGGGCCTTTGAAGATAGGGGACATGTCTCTTGTAACATATATTCCATACCATCCAACAAAGTTCTGGGGGCAGCCAGGTGCAGTGGTGCACACCTGTAATCTCAGCAGCTTGAGAGCCTAAGGCAGGAGGATCATGATTTAAAAGCCCATCTCAGCAACTTAGTGAGGCCCTAAGCAACTCAGCAAGACCCAATCTCTACATAAAATATAAAAAAGGACTGGGGATATCCCTTGTGTCTCAGTGATTAGTGCCCCTGGATTCAATCCATAGTACCAAAAAAAAAAAAAAAATCTGGGAGCATAATAGCTATTTGCTAGCTTCAGCCCTGTCCCATCCAAGAAAGGAAAAGGGAGGACAGGGTGACACCTTTGGTGTCCAAGCCAGCTTGGTAAAAAACAGGAAACAGGATCTAACTACTGTATAGTTTTTATTTTTAAACTTTAGGAAATAAGAAGAGAACAGTCTATCTGTACATCCAAAGGCACACTCCTAGGAAATACTGTGTCCACATCTCCTTTCAAAACTTTTCTACCTGACCACCTGCATTGTCTTTCTAGAAAAACATCTGGCCTATGTGTCATCCCCTCTGGGTGTTTCTTCTACCCACTGATGACACTGAGCAAGAGAATGAATTAGTCCCAATGAAATGATTCAATGGGTATTTCAGGTAGCATGAAAGTCTGGTAGGGAGTGTGCATTTGCATGAGTATTTCACTATAGTAGGGCAAGTTCATTACAATCTGGAATGTCTTCTTGAGACTGAAGGTGTAGCTTAGTGGTAGAGCATTTACTTAGCATGCACCAGAGCTCCAAATTCAAACCACAGTAGTGCAAAAAGAAAGAAAAAAATGTCTTCTAGGAGGAAAGCAAAACATAAAGCCATGTGATAATCTATACAAATTTTATTTTGATATCAATTTGTATGGAAACAAGCAGGTGTCAGCATTATGCAGGCACATTAAAAGGGAAAGAAAAAACTCCAGTGATAATTTGTATTTACAACATTTGGTTTCAACAAGGACAGGAAGCTTTACTGTTAGCTTCCTGTGGGAACTCCAGTTTCTGCACCTTCCCCTGCTGCCTCTCAGCATCTCGATACAACAGAGATTTCTGGGCCTTCAATCGGCAAGCCAGGCACATGAAAATTGACTCCACGTTCTGGCTCTCTTTGGGGTCCTTGGCTGATGTCTCAAACAAGAGCATGTTGTGGGCATCAGCAAATTTCAGGGCTAGGTTGGAGGGCACCTGAATCTGTTCCCTCAAGTCACACTTGTTGCCCACAAGCACCTTCGGAACTAGTGGGGGCACAGCATGCCCATTGCATTCTTGGATCCACATTTTGAGGTTGGTGAAGGAGGTCATCTTGGTGACATCATAGACAAAGACCACTGCATGCACATTGCGGTAGTAATGCTCAACCATGCTTTTACGAAAGCGTTCCTGACCTGCTGTGTCCCACACCTGAACCTGGAAGATACAAAAACCCATATGTGGAGTCAGAAAAGGAAACATAAACAGACAAAAGAAAATATGGTCTTGTAGCATAAGAAAATGAGGTTACAGGGGCTGGCATTGTTGCTCAGTGGTAGAGCGCTTGCCTAATGTGTGAGGCACTGGATTCAATCCTCAGCACCACATAAAATTAATTAATTAATTAATTAATTAAAGGTATTGTGTCCATCTACAACTAAAAAACAAAAAAAAAAAAAGAAAAGAAAATGTGGTTACAAGCCCCGACATAGGAAGTGGTTCTTGACAGATAAGCAGAATGGACTTATCAAAGTACAGACAGAAATTTTAGGGTTTGTCAAGTTTTTCTTAAGATTATTAGTTGCAAATAGAGTTGAAAATCTGAAGGCTTTTAGTTTAAACACTGGGGCATAAATTGGTCAAATTTTCTGGAGGGTACTTTGGCAATATTATCCAAGAAATATTCACAAATTTTGGAGTTTGTAATCCCCCTTCCAGAAATCTATACAAAAGACGTAACAGAGATGTGCTCAAAATTCTGCACAAAGATCTTAACCATGGTATTATTTATACTCTTCTAAAAACAGGAAACAATCTAAATGCTCACTAGGAAGCAAAAGTGTATAGCTATTCAATGGGCTATTATGCAGCCATTAAAAATAATGTTTCCAAAGAATAAATGATAAGAGAAATGCTCACAAAGTACAAGGAAGTGAAAAACAAAAGAATAGATACAAGATTTTTCAGGATTGGAGGTATAACTCAGTGGTAGAAAACCTGGGTTCAATCCCCAACACCACCAAAAAAATTCATATGCTATTGTCTTGATTTTTAATAAAACACGAAACATAAACATATGTATAGGAAAGAATGGAAGTGTATATAGAACATTAATGGTTATATATATTTATGGGCAGCAGGACTATAGGTGACTTTTTTTTGTATTTTCCAAGGTTTCTACCATAAATATGCATTGCTTTATTTGGAATTTTTTTCTTTTTCTTTTCGTTTTTTCAGTGCTGGGGATTGAACCCTGTGCCTTTTTTCATGCTAGGCTGGCACAGAACTACATCCCCAGCCATATTACATTACTTTTTAAAGAAAGCAAAGTTAGTGTTAAAATCTCACCTTTCAGCTGAATTTATTTAAGTCACTGGAATTTTCTTCTGCACTTTGACCTTTTTTTATTTTTTTATACTGGGGATTGAATCCAGGGGTACTTAGCCACTGGGCCACGTCCCCAGCCCTTTTTATTTTTTGAGACAGGGTCTCAATAAGTTTCTTGGGGCCTAAGTTGCTGAGGCTGGCCTCAAACTTGTGATCCTCCTGCCTCAGCCTTCCAAGTCACTGGGATTATAGGCATGTGCCACTGTGCCCGGCTGGCTTTTTTTGATAAGACCAATTTATAAAGGAAAAAAAGCTGGTATCACTAACATGCACAAAGAGAACACCCAGGGAACACACACACTCAAGCCCAATCCTTTTGCCCTTTATACATCCAACATCTTGGACAAGAGACATTCATGCTCAGAGTGATGGTCCCAATGCCCTATACAATTCTCGGCTATCAAATAAAATTTGATTATGGCCACTAATTGATTACTATGGCTTTTAAAACGATGTATAGCCTTTGTTTGGAGTTAGTGGTCCATAAATATAATCTAGTAAATATAATTGAATCACTTTGCTGAGTGAAGATCTTACAGGGCCCCAGAGTCATCATTCTGAACATCAGTTTTCATTGTCCTGGCTCTCCTTCATCATCCTCTACTGACATGGCTTCAAATGTCTCCAGCATAACCCCCTCTTCTGTTTCATTTTTCATGTCCCTTGGTCAGAACTTCCCCTCCTTGCTCTTGGACTACAGTATTCTTTTGATTTCTGGATATATCCACTCCACTGTCTTCTGAATGCTACTTTCAAACTAGCCTTCCCAAATCCCCACTTGTATCTGAATGTCATCTTATACTTCAGGAAATTATAGTGGCCCTCTACTGTGTGTGACTTCAAATGGGAAATTTTCTGTCTGCCATAAGTTGACTCTCCCAACCTGGATTCAGACTATTCAGGTAGCTACACCTGGTTCATTTGATCCTGCTAGTCCACCCTTCTACTGTAGATTTGCTTGCCCCCTCTTTGCCCTATCCAAATCCCACCCGTTCTTGAAGGCTAAGCTCATATCTCCATCTTCTTTCTTCCTCAAACTTTCTAAATATCTCTCTCTGTCTCTCTCTCTCCCTCCCTCCCTCTCCCCCCCTCTCTCTAGTACCAGGGATTGAACCTAAGGGCACCTAACAACTGAGTCACATCTCCAGTCCTTTTTATGTTTTATCTTGAGACAGGGTCTTACTAAGTTGCTTAGAGTCTTGCTGAGTTGCTGAGGATGGCCTTGAACTTGTGATCCACTTGCCTCCTGAGCCACTGGGATTATAGGCATGTGCTAGTGCACCTGGCTACTTTCCCCACTTTCTATACAATTTTTTTTCCTTAGGAATTTCTTTTGCATTTTGAGTCTGTATCATACCATTTAGAATATATTTGTGTTCTCTGATTGTCTCCTCAGTGCTCTTGGCACCTCTCCAGCTAGACTGTAAGCAGTCTTTTTCTACATCAGATCACTCACCATCAAGGTTTTCATTATCATCAAAAGCACTATTGGCCTGAGCCACCAAAACTACAAACAGTCTGGCAGTCTAGGTATCTGCCAAGGCCATTTCAGAGAGAATATATGACTTTTGTTACATAGAAAAACCTATGTCCTTGAAGATAGATTTGCTTCTGCAAAGACAAAAGATTTTCATTTCTTCCACCTCTCTGATGCTATGAACAGGATGAAAGGGGAAGTAGGCTGAGAAAGGACTGGAGGTCATGGGGAAGGGAGCAGGTCTAGCCCAGGAATATCATTACCACTTGGCTCCTGATCTCCACTTCCCACCCTGCCCCCCAGTAGTCTTAACTCTCCCTCCTGCCTCTGAGTAAGGCTGAATCCCTATCAGCCCTCAGGCATGTGGCAGATGCTTTAACACCATGAGCTCAGGACTCTAAAAATACCTGCCACTAGCAGGAACACGGGTGGGAGTGTGTGAGGTGTTTGAGGCTGAGTAAGGTTGGCTGTTTGGCTTTTCTTTGGCTTCCTAATTGTGTATACCACCCAAGTTGCCGGAACTGCAGGGAGGGCCCTCTCTGCTGGAGACCTCCTCTGCCTTTCCAAGGGTATTGCTATCAAGAGCCTCCTTCTGGAAGCTTTTATTTGGAGGCTCAGAATTTCAACAGTAGGCATTGCTCCCAATCCAGCTCTTTAAAAACCTAATCTAAGTTATTTGCACCCCTGTCTGTGGTGAGAGGTAAGCCTGGAAGCAGGCTGCTTCCAGCAGTGCAGTCTCAGAGCCCTCAGAAAAGGAGCAATAGCTGTTAGGTTCACCAGATATGGGAAATGATCTCCTGGTGTTTTGGGGTTCAGTGTTCTGTTCTTCTCACCATTTTTATAACCCCTGGCCCATGTCCTTTCCATAAATATCACCTCTACCCTGTGTGCAGGGATGACCACACCCTCTTAGACACACACACACCCCAGATCCTCATTTCTCTCAGAGGGCCAGTGGGGTATAGTGGAGTCAAATCAACGTGTCTGCATTTCATGGCCCAAATTATGTAATTGTTGGGTGTCCTTAGGAAAGTGAATTTCCCTATCTTCAGTGTCCTTATCTGCATAAATGAAGATAGCAGTAGCTATCATGTGAGCATTAACATTCCTTGTAAGTACATGACATTATGACTAAATATAGTCAGCCCTCAGTATCCCCAGCAGCTTGGTTCTAGAATCCTTGGAGGATGCCCAAGTCGTGGAAGTTCAAGTCCACTATGCAAAATGCTGTTATATTTGTATATAACCTATACTCATCCTCCCATATTCTTTAAATCATGTTTAGATTATTTATAATACCTAATACAAAGTAAATGCTAAAAAATGGTTGTTATAATGTATTATTTAGGGGAGAATGACAAAAATGTTTGCACATGTTCAGTACAGATGCACGTTTTTTTTAAATGCCAAGGGGGGTTCATGCCATGGACTGAACTCAGAAGCACTCAACCACTGAGCCACATCCCCAGCCCTATTTTGTACTTTATTTAGAGACAGGGTCTCACTGAGTTGCCTAGTGCCTTGCAGTTGCTGAGACTGGCTTTGAACTTGTGATCCTCCTGCCTCAGCCTCCCAAGCTGCTGGGATTACAGGCATGCACCACCACACCCAGCTGAAAAAAAAAAAAAGATTTTTTTTGTAGTTGCAGATAGGCAAAATACCTTTATTTTACTTATTTCTTTTATGTGGTGTTAAGGATCGAACTCAATGCCTCACACATGCTAGGCAAGCACTCCACCACTGAGCTACAGCCCCAGCTGAAGATGCAATTTTTCGAATAATTTTACCCCTTGGTTAGTTGGATCCTTACATGTGGAACCCATGGATACAGAGGACCAACTGTCTGAGAAGCCCAGAAACCCCACCACTGAATCTGGATGGACAACTGATTGGATGCTATTGGAAAGGCATCATTCCAGCTCTTCTCCTTAGTATTTGAGTAAAAGACTAAGAAAGTAATTTAACCACCCTCAACTGAGCCACACTTTCTTCCTCTGCACAATGGGAACTCATTCTCTCATGGTGGCTGGAATGAGCCAGTGAAATAATATGAGAAAGAGCTTCTGCAAAATGTAAAGTTCTCTGTAAATATTAGTTGTTATTCTCTGAAAGCTCAGCAGCCCTCCCCATTAGTCTTGCTCCTTGGATCTTTTGGGTTTCATCCTGGAAAGCACAGAAAGCTTGGCTTCTCCAAACTGAAATACAGCCAAGGCAAAGGCAATCCTGTGGGGAGACAGAGAGGAATGTGGTCAACATGCCATGGGGGGCCAGAGGCAGGTGGGTGCCAGAAGAGGGTTGCAGGGCACAGCATGGGGAACCGCCAAAGATCAATTGAACATTTTTAACCATTTTCCTGGGGCTATCCCTACCTATGAAAGATTTAGCAAGCCTTGCATCCCCTGCACGTGCTCTTAGCTGACATGGGTATTTCTTTTCTCTAGGGAACATATCTTTCTACAGATGAGGCATGAATGTCCTTTTGTTGGAGGCTGATGGGGGAGGGTAAAAGTGCAAAAAAGGGAGACAAATACATTTCTAACCTTTGGGGGACACCCCAGTGGGTGATGGGAAAAGTTTAAAAGAAATCCTTTTTCAACTAGCTGGATTGTCTATCTGCATCTAAGATACACACACAAAGCTGATACAGAATGGCAAAGGAGAACAGAGACAAAGAGAAACACACAGAGAAAAAGCAGCAGCCAGGGAGACAAACACACACACACACACTGATGGATAATTAACCATTAAGCTAACTGGCAGAGGATGGGAGGAAGCTCAGAAGCCCTAAGGAAGACATGATGTCATTCTGACTGCAGGCAGCTTCTGAGGAACACTGAGCTCAGCCTTCATCCATTCGCTATAGTAATCCAAGACAGTGTTTTGTTCTCAGTGATCAGCAGAGGAAGAGAAATCCACAGTCCTAGGCTGCACCTGCCACAGCCACAACTGACCTGCAGTTTGCCTGGCTCTGAGGGCTGGGACAGAAAGGGGACCCAGCCTGGTGAAGGAAACAAACTAAACAGGAGGGCTTCTTCCATGAGAATTTATCAATAATGGCTGAAAAATTAGTTTCTGAGTTTCCCTTCTACTTCTTACCCCCCAAACCCTATTCATTGTTTTCTGAGGCTTTTCCTCATTTTCCTTTCTTTCTTTCTTTTCTTCTTTCTTCTTTTGTGGTGCTGTGGATGGAATCCAGGGCCTCACTCATGTTAAGTTAAGTGATCTACCACTACATCCCCAGCCCTTTCCAGTGCTTTTAGACTGAGGCAGACTCAATATGGTTTAGTTAAACCTGTGACAGACACATAGAGAAGTTCCGTCCTACCTTTTAGGGTTAGGCAATGCCTCCACCCTTCTTAGACTGATATCAGAAAAAGCTGTCAGCTTTCCCATATGATGTCCCTCTGTGTGTTGTTACAGGTAACCTTGTAGGTTGGATGGACTAGTGGTGATTTATATGTTCTTCAAAGCATGATGCATGAAAATAGCACAAGAAAGGGAATTAGACTTGAGTTGCAGGCCTGCTCCTGTTTGATCTTGGGCATGTTTCTCTCTCTCTGAGCCTCAGTTTTCTATCTATAAAATTATTACATTGGATTAGAGAATCTCTAAGTTCTCTTCTATCTTGGAATATGTTCTAATTCTCATGCCCAAGGTGCAAAAAGCAAAACCCATGGACTCTAAGTGCTCTGAGTTATTTTTCTCCAGTGCTGAAGATGGAAACCAGAGCCTCATCCTTGCTAGGCAAGCACTCTTTAACTGAGCTACAAGCCCAGCCCTAAAGGAGACATCTTGAAGGCTCCTGGGTCCTTGGGATACATCTTTGGGATGGCAAGACTGGTTGCCTCCCTCTGAGCACACTTCCCAATCTAGAGACTGGATATTGCTACGTAGAGCACAGCACAGAGGTAAAGAGCATGGGCTCTGAATCTGGGTTGAAATCCTGACCCTGTTACAAGGAAAGCAAGATACAAAGAGGGGAAAAATGCTTGAGAGTGAGAATCAAAGACAGAAGCTCAGATCCATGTGTCATTGGGCAAGTTATTTCTTTTCCAACTTTAATCTCCTTATCTGTACAATGGGGATGATAACAGTCCTAATTTCCTAGGGTTGCTGTGAGTATCAAATAAGACAATGTATGTAAAGTACCTAGCCTGGGCTCCTTGTTAATTCAATAAATCAAAGTTGTTTACTAGTATTGCTCTTCTTGAGGTCATTTTCACCAGGAAACACTGGATTGTAAATGTTGTGATGATGTGGGGGTGGGGGTCATAGTGAGAGGAGAGACCAAATGGGGCTTCAATCCCCTAGGGATGGCCCTGGTGATTAAGAGTGTAGCTTCAACTACAGCAAATCAGTCATTTCCCAGTAGGCACTGTCTTATGTGCTATTCTGGGACACAGGGAGGCAGTCCATGAGAGACCACACCCTACCCTTGGACACAGGACAAGAGCTCCTTAAGACTTCTCTAGCATTCTCCTGCCAGGGCTGGGATTTTATGACCTGACAGCCTTGTATTGCTGCTGGCTGTGGTCTAGGGCTATCTCAACTTGTCACATTGGACTTTTCTCCCTCCCCTGAAGGGGGAAGCCTTTGGCTGCCATCTCCTAGCATGGTTTTGGCACTTGTTCCTTGAGAAACTCCAGGTCAGCCAGATGATGAAGCAAAATCTTCTCCTATCTAGATCATGTGCCAGCTGCCAGGCTCTTCTATCTTCCCACAGACATGCTGGTCTCTTGACTGCTGGCTCTGGCCTTGATGTTGAAGCAGCTTTACAAGAAGCAGGTTCACCATCTCCCCATTCCCATACTCCACTTAGAGTTACTACAGAATCTGTCCTCAGAGGGGCTCCTTCTTGAGCAGTGTCACAAGGCTTTGTCCTCTTGAAAATATCATCTTCCCAAAAAAGCCCGTGTTAAGCACTTATCTGCACGTGGTGGTGTGCTGAGCTCTGTTTCTAGTGAGTCACACTGTCACAGACTCTGCCCTCTGGGAAAAAGTCTGGAATCTTTGGCAGAGGCTGTGAAACCTAGTTGGGCTAAGCATAAGGGTATTAGAAGGGAAGAACATTTTTAAAAAATCTCCCTGAGGCCATTGGGTAGCAAGCAGGGTCCATTCTTCACCTCCCATTCCTCACTTTCATACTTCTTTCTCTCCTCTCTTCTTTTCCCCTCCCCTAGACTCCCCAATACTTCCTTTATCCCCCACCCAAATTTCAAATGAATTTAATTCCCCACTTTTAAATCCAGGGTATCAACATTTAAGGATTTTTGAGAGTTTAAGAGCCCATCCATATATTTCCACTTTGGGGGAAAAAGCATATTTTAGACATTACAGAATCTTACAGCCTTACATTAAAGAAGCTAGACATACTAGAGGAACATCAAACATGATGCAAACATCAAAATGAGAGTCCCAGGAAAATATAGGGATAATTAACTACCTTAACTTTAAAAGGGTGTGTAGCAATCCCCCCCCCCTGAAAAAAAATGCAAGAAGAAAAAAGATCACAAATTCAAAAGAATGCTCTATCTTCCTGGGCTGGGGTTGTAGCTCAGTGGTAGAGTGCTTGCTTTGCACCTGTGAGGAACTGAGTTCTATCCTCAGCACCACATAAAGATAAATAAATAAAATAAAGGTACTGTTTCCATCTACAACTCAAAACATAGACCCTAGTACTCTGCCTTATCAATATTGAGCTGCTCATCTTCCTGACATCTAGTGCCTTGGCCTGGTTTCTGAAGCCATTTTAAACACACTCATTTTAGCTGGGCATGGTGGCAAATACCTGTAATCCCAATGATTCTGGAAGCTGTAGGATTGCAGTTCGAGGTCACCCTCAGCAATTTCAGAAAGCATTAAGCAACTTAGCAAGACCTTGTCTTAAAATATAAAATAAAAAGGGCTGGGGATGTTGCTCAGTGGTTAAGCACCTATGGGTTTAATCCCTGGTACCAAAAAAAAAGAAAAAACAACCCACATTTATTTTAATAATCAAGGAGTCTTGCATATTTGGGAGTGTTTCATCAGTCTCCCCAGTTGCTCAGTCTTTCTTTCCACTTCACAGTGGCCTTGCAGTTTCTTTGGCTGTTTGACCATAAGCTCAGGGAAAGGCCAACTGTGAGTCCAGAGGGTCTCCAGGGTCCCTAGTGCCTCTTTCTTTTTTTTTTTTGGTGGGGATTGAACCCAGGGCCTTGTGCATGTGAAGCAAGCACTCTATCAAGTAAGCTATATCCCCAGCACCCCCTAGTGCTTTTCAGGAGCCTCTTTTCCCATCATCCTGCCCCGTTCTCTCCTCCCATGGCAAGTTGCCCTTGCCATGTCCTCCCTCCTGCCACCCTTTGCACATTGACATATTTCTGTCCTATCGAATTTCTGCATTTTCTGAACTAAATGTGAGTACAAATGATCAGACAAGAATATTTTGTACTTAGCCTATTTGATAAACTAATGGGGGAAAAAGGCACTTTCTTTGGCCCTTGGTTAAGGTGCTCAGCAGCTTTTGCAAAGGCCTTCTGAACAATACCAACAACCAATGGGCAGTTCATTCATTAGGTACCCCCAGACAAGTAAAGAAAATATCATTTGAGAAAGACTGTTCCCCTAGAACAAGTTTTGTCTATTAGAAAGGTCCAGCAGGTGATCCAGTCTCAATCCTTAAAAGGGTTCATGGCTTTGTGCATAAACACCCTACTCCACCCCAATTCCAACTCAGTCCTAATCTTAACTAATAAAGTGCAATTTAAAATAAGCAGCTTTCATTCTCTGTGGATTTCCATGCTTTCCTTCCCTCTGATGCCACCTGGCTTAGCAAAAGTGGGTTTTTTTTTTCAGCCTATTGGCACTCAAGAGGTATAAGAGACTTCAAGATTGTGTAAAGTGCTTTGGGATCCATCCCACAGACTAGAACCAAGGGATGCCTCCCGCCTCCCTCTGCCCTCAGGTGCCGCTGCTCCTCCTCAGTAGGTCAGGGTCAAGGATGAAATCAAACATGCTTTTCCTGGCACAAACTGTCAGGCAGGGCAAAAGGTAAGAATGCAACCACTCCCACTTGCATTAAAAAAATTGGGTGAGGTGGGGACCAGGTTCAGTGAGAGAGAAGAAAAGGGATGAGGAAGTGTGGAGGGTCTTGGGGCTCAGCAAGCTTCTATTCAGCCAATGCTGGGCATTTGCAACCACTAGAGCCATCCCTCAGGCGAAGCCCCTTCCCAGCTCCCTCCCTTCCCAGATCTGACCAGCTGGATCACCTTGATCTTCTCGCCCTCGATTTCCACGGTTTTCTCCCTGAAATCCACACCGATGGTGGCTTCAGTCTTGTCTGGGAAGGTTCCCCCACAGAAACGGAAGGTCAGGCAGGTCTTGCCCACGTTGGAGTCCCCAATCACGATGATTTTGAAGATGCGAATCTGCACGTACTGGTCCAGCGATGAGTCGAGCTCCAAGGATGCTAGGCCAGAGGCTGAAGCGGGCTGCAGGTTCCCATGGCCCAGGATGGGCTGCGCCATTTCCCGGGACCGGACTGGGGCCCCAACCCCCCTCGAGGGCTCCACACAAAGAAAGGGCCACGTTAGTGCGCTCGAGACGAGCGAGCTTTGTGCGTGTGTGTGCGTGTCTGTGAGTGTGTGTCCGCCCGTGTGTGCGTGCGCCGGCAACGTGTGTGCGCGCGCGCGTGAAGGGGGTGCCTCTCACCCTAGGCCCCCTCCTCCTCCAGCGCACCCTCCTTGCAGCTCCGAGGCACCAACACAAAAGCCAAGGAGAGGAGAGATGGAGGAGAATGGACAAACCGCGAGCCGCCTTCTGCCTGTGTGTGCCCTAGGACCGGACGCTAGGGCATGTGATCCTGTTCCCGTGCCTTTGCCTAGACCCTCCCCTGTCTGGACCCCAGGGACACACTGGAGGGAGGACGACTACCGAGGAAAGGAAGGGGGTGGGAGAGTACTTACACCACCCTGGGATAGTCTTCCTCTCTCCCTTTTCCTATTTGTCTTATAGGTTTTAAGCTCCCCCACCCTTCTCCCCCTTCCCCCCTTGGCTGGAGCGCACAAAGTCAGTCGGCAGGGAGCACAGCTGGGGAGGACAAAGAGAGCTGCACACTAAGGCATCACTAGAGCACTTTGGCTTCAGTGCGATCAACTCAAAGGTAGGGGTGGGGGGGTCAGAGATACCTCTTTTACCTCCGGAGCAGCAGGCAGCTGCACTGCTCCTTCTTGGTCCACTATCTCTCCCCCAACACCAACACCACCACCAAGCCTCGGAATGCAGGGATGCTCTGTCTTATTGAGTAAGCAGGTGCTCAGGCAGAGACCAAGGAGCCAGGGAGGGCGCTGCCAAGACACGCAGTGGGCTGTGTGGGGGGGGGGAGGGGAGCGCAACTGAAAGAAGGGAGACAGGGGGCGCGGGTGTGCGTGTGTAGGGGGTGTTACAGTTTCTGTCACAGACTTGCCAGATGTAGGGGGGCGCGTACCAGGCGCCAACCTCCCCTCATCACACCACGAGCACCCATCCTCTGAATGTTCAGGAGAGCGTTTCCCATTGGCTGCCGTAGTCGGTTGTGTTTGGCTGGCCAATAGGGAAGGTCCGCCACGGGAGTGGGACACAGGGAGGATAGGAGAAGGGGGAGAGTTGGTGGTGGCCGCTCCAGAATAAGGGGATTTTGTTTCTGGAGCTAGCCATTACAGGCCCAGGTGAGGGATCTTAGGACATGGCATAAATTCCACAGTGCCTTGCATTCGTGAGCCTTCCATATAACTATTAAACCTTCAGGATGGCAGAGTTTCAAGGAGAATTGCGAATCCCTAGGAGGGTTCACCACCCCCTCTGCAACTGAATGTAGAACAAAGTGGTTGGGTCTAATTTGCCAGAAGCCTAGATTATGCTTGGAAGATGATAAATGAACACAACTTTCTTACGGTATTAGAGGGCAGCTTCCCAAAGCTTATTAATCATCATACGTTTTGGTCAAGACCCATATTCCCTCTTCCGAAAGTGATCTGCAGGTTCAGAATTTGTTTGAAATCAACTTTACTGAGAAACAATTTACATACAATAAAGTGCACCCATTTTATATTTGCTTTAAAGAATACTCCTCCCTGTATTTCATAGGCTAAGGTGACAGTGACATATGCCAATAGCACCATCATATGAGATATTGATAATGCCATCAAAGTCAGGGATTCAAGCTGCACACGAGCTGACATCTTATTTGTGAATCTGAGCTGCAGGAAGAGACAAATATGACTATATCCATTCCCACCAAGAGGAAAAACAATTCAGTATCAGTGATATGTCTGTGGGCAAAGTGGAAGTGACTACTCAGTTAAGTTCAAATTACTCAAAATGGGGTCTTCTAGTTATTCAGTGTATTAACTGAGTTAGTAGATATATTTATAGCTAACCTCTTTATCATATATGTGGGTCACCCATTTCTAAAACCCTAGATCATATTATTCAACATTAAAACCATCCAGAGAAGGAATTAATCTTAGTTGGCTAATCCAAGGTCATCATCATGAATACCAATTACTATGCTACAGCATATCAATTATCATTGCACAGTATTTTGGTTTTTTTCTTGCCTGATGCCTAGATAATAGTTTGTGGATCATTCTCATCTGTATTAAAAGCTAATGCCCCTAGTGTCCTTTACCTATAAAAGAATAGCTGTAAACAGTAAGGGAGAGATAACTATTAATTGGGAACATCATGTACATATGGTGGAAAGAGTCTTTGCCAACTCATACCTAGAGTTAATGCTAACTTCCTAAGAAGTATAAAAATAAGCATTATAACCACATAAGAGTATTTAGATGTATGCTTCTAGCAAAAACTTGTCACTGAGTCTACCTCTGTAAGACAGAAATTTTGATTTCTGGGAATATGGTATTTCAAAATGGGCTCTGTAGCCAGGCAAGGTGGCAATAATCCCAACAACTTGGAAGGCCAGCCTGGGAAACTTAGTGAGACCCTATATCAAAATAAAAAATAAAAAGGGATGGGTTGTTTTCACTGATAGAGTGCTCCTTAGTTCTGTCCCTAGTACTGCAAAAACAAAACAAAATGGGCTTCTTGTCCTAATAAAAAGTGTATGTTACTTGTGTGGGACAAGTCTTGGGGGGCTTTCACATAAGATTTTTGGAATCAGTTTGATGGGCATTTTGCTATTTTATAACGTAAAATATAGTTTTTAATTGCACCTATTACAAAAACAAATGTGCTTTACAAATAAATGCTTTTTGTTTTAACTTTGGATCATTAAATTCTTTTAAATATATGTGGTTGTTTCATGAGGCCCTGATTGTCATGATTTCACAGTGTTTCCACCTTTTTTACCAACAGATGTGATCAATTCAATCAATTTATTATCATTTTTATTATTATTTTGTTGCTGTTAAGAGATGGGGATCTCATTGTCCAGGCTGCCCCTAAATTCCTGGGCTCAAGCTATCTTCCTGCCTTAGCCTTCTAGGTATATTATAGATTTAGAAATATCAATATACAACAATGTCTGTAAGGGTTTTTTTCTCTTTTTCTTTTTGGCAGCGCTGGGGATTGAACCCAAGGCCTTTCCAGCCCTCCTGTAAGTCCTTTAAAATATTAAATAACTATAAATAATTTCCTTATTCTGCAGTTGATGTTTTCAATATTTATTCCCTGAAGCATCTCTGGGTAAAATGTCACCCATTGACTGTACTTCTCAACAATGATCTACTCTTGCTGAATGGCTAAGGAAACTCTGGATCATTTCATCCAATAAAGATTGCTTCCAGGGTTAAAAACTTCTTAAAACAATACCTGTAATTTCATTTCCTATTCTCATTCCACTAAAAATTTAACTTCATCACCTCCAAAATTAGGAAACTCTTTTGCCAGTTCAAATCTCACCCCACCATACTTACCTGTCTTTATCACAACTTCCTAATGTGGTATGTACTGTCATTGTCCCACAAAAGTGTGCTGGGGGCTGGGGTTGTGGCTCAATGGTAGAGTGCTTGCCTAGCACATGTAAAGCACTGGGTTCCATCCTCAGCACCACATAAAAATAAATAAATAAATGTCCAACTACAACTAAAAAATCTCTCTCTCTCTCTCTCTCTCTCTATATATATATATATATATATATATATATATATATACACACACACACACACACACATATATGTGGTGATTTTGCTTTTCATACCTCAAGGCCTGTTAATTTAACAAATAGCCTAGTGCTTGCTCTAAGACACTTTACAAATATTGGTTCATTTAGCATATGAGGAAAGTGAAGTCATTAAGTGATTTGCCCAAGTGGACCAGCCAGGATTCAACCTGGGTCCCTATGGATCCAAAGTTAACATGCTTAGCCAATAAACAATGTTACCTTTGGTCCCAACATATTCACCACCTGAAATATAATTTCTCTCCCTCCACTATTTGAAAGTTACTATTCTTCCTTAAAGATACAGCTCAAATAACACTTTTGCATGAATTTTTTTCCTTAGTGATTCCATCACAAGATCTTCTTCGTTGCTCTGGCACTGCACCAAAGAGGATTATTACTTAAATGACCAGTATATGTCATTTCCCCAACTAGACAGTGACCATTTTCAATACTTTTTATTTCCACTTAGAGTCACTTTCATAGTTCAGTCCAAGAGGCAAGTGCTCAAGGAACATGTTAAATTAATATGTAGCCCAAATCCTTGAAAAGGGGATATATTTTCTCGATACAGCCAAAAAAGTTATTTACGGTTTAGCTTACACTTAGCAGAGTCAAAATACCTACTTACAATCAGCCCCTCACTACTCCTCCCACAACTCAAAACTCCTCCTTAGGATTTAGGAAAACACCAACTCTTTTACCAGCATCCTGCTCTCAAGCGCAGAAGCCATCATAGCAAGAAACTATCCACTGCTCCTACTCAGTGCCTAGAACATAAAAATGCACAGTATAAAAGTGGTAAGGGGACAGAGCGCGCATATCGATTACTAGTCCCGGAAACAGGGTGGGTGGAAAAGTGCCAGAAACTTGTAAAAGACGGAAGTACTTTCCAGATCTGAGAAGTCAGGGGTCCAGATTCGGACCCATGGAAAGACTGGAAGTGGACCACAGCAAGAGAATCCTAGCTTGTGGCCTAAAACGGAAAAACAATGCAGTTCAGGGGTCACACTTTGTGGGGTACTGTTATCAGTTCCCATCACCGACAGAGCGGCAATACCAGCCACAGCCGCCAGTCAAATGGCTCCACCGGTAGCTCCTTAAACAGTTGTCCAAATTCGCTCACCCCAACTCATTGCCACCAACTCGAAGAAACTTGCTAACCCGAGCCAGAGCCCGGGTCTTTGCAAAGCGTACGAGCACATAAACGCATGCGCAAATCCTATTACCTTGCGGACCAATCGCACTGCGACGCTGAGTGCTACGCCTGCGCAGTAGGCCTCTGGTCGCAGTTCCCAGTTCCTGGCTCCGGCAGGCGGGCTTCACTGTCCAATGTCCACTGGCATCTGGGGGGAGGAGCCTGCGTATTGTGCGTGTGAGAGGAGGGGGGAGCGGGCTCGGGCCCGTGGTGTTTGACCCGTTGGTCGGTGAGTGAGAGGAAAAGGAAGGAGGAGGTCTGGAGTAGCGGTTGCCGAAATGTTCCGGTGTGGAGGCCTTGCAGCGGGTGCTTTCAAGCAGAAATTGGTGCCCTTGGTGCGGACAGTGTGCGTCCGAAGCCCCAGACAGAGGAACCGGCTCCCAGGTGACTGACCCATCCCGGGCAAACCCCACCTCGACGTCCAAGGGCCTGGGTGTCATAGGCTTGGCTACCCATTCCTCACAGCGTTCCCCCACCCCTCGAAAATCTTACACTCACTGTCGCATGGATTCCGAATTCGAGGGATACAAACCCTGAGTTTGCAAGCAGAGGAGTCAGCATAGCCTTGCCGACCTGACCTTCAAGAGATTTGAACCCCAGTAGTTGGCTTGAGGCCTTTTCTGGGGAGGGTTTGCTGTTTAGGGATTACA